GGCTGGTTTCGAACTCCTGAGCTCAAACAATCCGCCCGCCTCAGCCTCCCAGAGAGCTAGGATTACAGGCGTGAGCCACCGCGCCCGGCCAATATTTTCTATTTTAATAGAGACAGGGTCTCACTCTTGCTCAGGATGGTGTCGACCTCTTGAACTCAGGCAATCCTCCTGCCTTGGCCTCCTAGAGTACTAGGATTATAGGTGTGAGCCACCGTGCCCAGCCAAAATTACAAAATTTTAAATAATTTTTTTTTGTTTGTAAACTTTGATATATAGATTTTTCCAAATTGAATTGTACATTTTCATACCTTGGTAAAGGCTTTGGCCTTTTCTTGAAGTCTTGGTCATCAGGATGGGTATTGGTTATTATTAGGATGCAGTGAGGGTCTCTGGCTCTGGGAGTAAACCTGGGGTTCTTTGGTTTGGCCCAGCACTGCCCCACATAGTTGTGCTTTGTTCCCTGGGGCACATTTCCTCACAGTCAGCCATCTCTCCTTGCTGCTACAGGTCTGTTCTTAGTATCCCGCTCCGTCTCCTTTCACTGTTGTCTGCTATGACTAGGGGAAAACAGGCTGCCAAGGGGATCCAGAAGATCAGGGTTATTAAATCCATAACCTAAGACAAAATATAATATTACATTGTAGACTCCTCCAGGTAGCTGAGTTAACCCGGGCAATGTGATGTTCACTTTCCTCACTGCTCAGAGATTTTCTTCTGTCAGCTTCAACTATTCATAAACCTGTCTGTATTAAGTTGTCTATGTCACCATGAGCATGATGTGCTGATCTGTGAGTGTTTTAAGGATGTCAGTTAGAACCAACATGCTATCTCTGTTCAGTAATGCCCAAGGGACTCCTAGTGATGTGATAAACCATTTGGGTTTATCTAGATGTGCCCCAAACAGCTACAGAGTATCAGCATTTCTCTCAATGTCGTAGTTGATCTAACTGTTCTTTGATTCTTCGTTCTTATTTATAGCCCTTCTTAGTGGTTTGCTATCTGGGCAAAGATTTTTCTCCCAGAGAGCCCTCCCTTCATTCCTCATTTCTGTAGACCCTACTCATAGCTCTCCCTGTTGGTTTTCTCAGTCTTCTCTGACTGTGCTACACTGTTAAAAGCTCTGCTTTAAAGAGGCTATGATAGAAGGAGAGAGGGCTGGTTTCAAACAGTTTTTGTTCCCATCGCAGCAGTGTGTAAAGCTGTTCTGTTAGCCATAGAGATGTCCATTGCTTCTAGAATATCTAGATGCTACCTGATCTGCCGTGGAGGTCTGGTTCCTTCCCCTATTTCCCTGCCTCATTTTTCCTTTTGACACACAGTCTGTCTTTAGAATGTCCTCTGCTATCATGAGCCTTTCTTCCCTACAGATTTTGACAGAGCTGGAACACAGTGGGATTGGAAGAATCAAAGAGCAAAGTGCCCGCATGCTGGGGCACCTGGTCTCTAATGCCCCCCGACTCATCCGCCCCTACATGGAGCCTATTCTGAAGGTAACACAAAACAGACCAAGAAACTGGCACTTTCTCTCTGGGTTGTCCTAAGGTGTCAGCTCGTTTGGGAAGATGGGAGCATTTCAGTGCTCACTGGTACACTGAACAAAGTAGATAATTCTACTTTGGTAGGTAATTCCTTTGGTCCCAGGCTCAGGGACAGGGGCCCCAGCAAGTACTTTCAGTTAAAGAATACCATGAATCTCATCAGTGGCAGGAAAGTGCTCTCCTTAGAAGAGATAAGATAAAATGCTTCAGGCACGTCACCATATGTGTTTGGAAAGGAGAAGTAGGTGCAGGGTGGCATAAAACAGCTGCCCCAAAATGAAGAAAAAATAAGCTTTAAAATCTGAAACAATCTTCAAATCTGCCTATATTAGAGTCATGTGGCATCTTTTATAACATGAATCTGGACAAGTGATTACACAGATACAATTTAGAGGATACACGGAAAATATTTTCAAATCATGGTACTTCCCAGTGCGCTCATATGTCAGACTTGCACTCAGTATGGAGAAAAGTTTGAGAATTTATATTCCAGAGAAATCTTGGATTCGTAAAGCCTAGAAGTAATTTATGACTGAGGTGGTCTCTTATGTAAAAGGAACCTTTCTATAGATTCTAATCTGCATTCATTTTCTCGTACCTTCTTTTCATAGGCTTTAATTTTGAAACTGAAAGATCCAGACCCTGATCCAAACCCAGGTGTGATCAATAATGTCTTAGCTACGATAGGAGAACTGGCTCAGGTAAAGGGACAACTACTTTTTCCATAGGGTGAAAAGAAACTGTTTAACATCTGAGGAAGTCAGAATACTTCTTAATACTATGATTTCTAACACATCTACAACCCCTTTTTCATTTTGTAGGTGAGTGGCCTGGAAATGAGGAAATGGGTTGATGAACTTTTTATTATCATCATGGACATGCTCCAGGATTCCTCTCTGTTGGCAAAAAGGCAGGTGAGTACCACTACTTCCTGACCGAGCAGGACAGATCCCATGAGGCCGGGACCTTGTTTCTCTTTATTCACCTCAGTGTCCCCAGGCCAGTGCCTAGCACAGATCTTGGCACATGGTAGGTGCTGAAAAATATTTGTCAAATGATGAAAAAGAAGAAAGACTTGGAACCAGAATTACTTGTCATCCTGACCCAAAGTCACTTTCAGTAAGTGTCGGAGCTGACCAATGCCATTTTCTCTATACAAAGGAATGCAGATCAATTATCAGGGCCCCAGCTGCTCGAGGGAAAAAGAACACCTTGGCCACTGCCTGTGAAGGCAAACAGAGCTTCAGTTCATCCTCACCCAGCCCTGGTTCCACTTCGGTCATTTGAGGTTATTAGGTGACCAGACTATTATTAAGAATAATCTTAATTTTGTTTGAGAAAGGTGGGAATATTCTTTATCTTTTGATCCAGTGATTGTTGTAGGTTTATACTCGATCAGTCTCGTTTTTATGGTCTCTCAGGATTTTTGTTCATACTTAGTGTCTTTACTGAAAACTTCTTTTCTTGTATGACAGCCTCTAATACTTCATTACATTGATTATACAAAAAGTACAACTGTGCTTCGCTTTCTTTTCTCTCATACTGGCTCAGTGAACCACGTGATCTTTTGCCTCTCCAGGTGGCTCTGTGGACCCTGGGACAATTGGTGGCCAGCACCGGCTATGTGGTAGAGCCCTACAGGAAGTACCCCACTTTGCTTGAGGTGCTACTGAATTTTCTGAAGACTGAGCAGAACCAGGGTACACGGAGAGAGGTAGGGAACATGGCAAACTGGGTCTTTAAAGAATTTTCTGGGAGAGGCTGAGCGC